GGATGCTGGTGGCCTTCTTGGCCACCTGGGCACACTGTTGTCTATACATAGGGTGGCTCAAGTGCCTAAGCATAGACTCTTGACACTGTTCAGATGCTTCAGGCTGCCTGAATTCTCTGTGCAGCACTGGCAGGTGCTGATTTCCAGCAATCTGCTCTCCATGTATCAGCCAGCTCTTTGTAGTTTTAAATTTTCTGCCAAATAGTAGATTGAGCAAATCCCTTCAGGACAAGAGAAACATTCTGCAACACACCTTGGGAAGTGCAGGAAGCAGCAGTGCTGAGCAGACATATGCTGAGCTTCATGAATGTGCCTTTTATGTTCTCCAAGAACAACTCCCATTATGAAAAATCATTTTGTTCAGAGGTTGAGTATCATCAGTCTTTAACACACACCATTGCTGCAAGTTACTGCCAGTCTTGGCTGCCATTCAGGTTCCTACAGCCCTTTACCTTCAGTTTCTCCACCTGTGGATTCAGCCACATTTGTAAGAAACCAGGAGCTACAGCCAAAAAGCTCTGCAAGATGCCAAGTGGTTTTTGAAGACGTCTTAAGAAGTGATTAGGAGCCCACTCACCATTCACAGAATGGGTCGGGATCTGCAAGTAGCAGCAACACTGCAAAGTAGCAGCTTTGCTGCCAAGCACCTTGTCCAAGCCATTAGCTTGACTGTTGTGAAGAGGATGCCTCACACAAGCCAGAGGGTTTCCTCTCCCTCACCCCTTGCATTTCTTTCTCTGTTTGGCAAGTGTTGGTGCAACTGGAATGACAGAGGGTTCTTGAAGTGTTTCTAACCTGTGCACTGTTCCCACCTCCCAGCTGAGGTGAAGGCAGAGGAGTGCACACTCCCTGGTAAAGCTCTCCCTCTGAGCTCTGCTCCACTTCTCCCCTTTCTTCCAAGCAGCTCCTCTACTTGAGATGCAGCTCTTTTGCTCACTGGCTTCAGGAGCCTCACTTCTCTCACTGCACAGATACTCACATATGGAAGTGACCACAGTCCAATTACCTCCTCAAACAGACCAGGCGTGTTTATTTGTGTGTGTGATTCCATAAACATCAGAAGTTTGGAGTAGAAGTTTGTTGCCAGCAACAATTTCATCTGCCTTCACAGTAGCAAAACAGAACCATTCTTAAAGGCTAAGAAACCAGTGAGCTCCTGCCTTTGGAGTGCACTAAAAGGGGGCCCCAGCTCAGCAGTTTGGAGGCTGAGTGGCAAACACCATCTGTATCCTTTTCCTTTCCATAAAAGGAACCTTTAGAGGAGTGTAAAGGAAAACAAAGAAAGATTACTACCAGTAGTTATAAATACTCAAATGAATAATAATTCTCTATACATTGTATTGAGGCAAATTCATTGCAAATACAAAGCTATGGAAAAAGGGTGTTCCAGTAAGTGATAAATTCGAAGTCAAACAAAAATCTCCCCCTAACTCAACTTCACAGCTATTATTAAAATACAACTAGGAAAAAAAACCAACAAAAAATCTTAAAACTAGAATTTTGAGTTCCCCACGTTTTCCCCTTTTGGGCAGAAAAGCTGAAGCACAGTGAACAGGCCAACATGGGATTTGCTTGCAGAGTCCCACAGCCAGCCAAGTGTGACCCATATTTCCAGCACACTTCTGAGAGCCTGGTTTTTGTGCTGCTTTCCTTTAGCCAGCCCTAGAAATCAACAGTGAGAAGAAAAACAAACTTCTGACATTCACAGCAGTAAGAATTAAGTTTGGATCCAGGCAAGGAACAGGCCATTTAAAACAGAAGTTAGTAGATTAACCATCCCAGCATCTTCAACTGCACCTTTGTTCAAGCTGGGAGAAGTCAGCCAGTGAAGCAAGGGCCCTTCCTTCGGTGAGAGTTTGAGTTCCAACAGCTTTAAGTTTCTTTGTTCGGGAGTTTGTTTGTTTATAAAGGGAAAAATAAAAAAGGATAAGAACACAGCTGACCCAGTTGGAAGCAGCTGGCTGTGATCAGTGATGGCCTCTGCAGCCGTATGCAAAGCACCAGCACCACCACGAGGCACTCGGTGGTCAAATCGCCCCACAAAAAGCACATGGAATCCTAGAATCATTCAGGTGGGAAGGGACCATAAAGATCATCAAGTTCCAACCCCCCTGCCATGAGCAGGAATCCCCACCACTAGATCAGGTTGCACAAAACCTCGTCCAACCTGGCCTTAAAAACCTTCAGGAACAACATCATCAACCTCCCTGGGCAACCCATTCCAGTTCCTGACCACCCTGAGAGTGAAGAATTTCTTCCTCATATATAATTACCTAAATCTCCCCTCTCTGTTTAAAACCATCACCCCTTGTCCTACCACTGTCTTCTCTGGTGAAAAGCCCCTCCCCATCTTTCCTGGAGCCCCTTCAGGCACTGGAAGGTGCTCTAAGGTCTCCCTGGAGCCTTCTCTTCT